GCACAAGATGAAGAACAGAGGTGGTTGATGCTTAAGGCCATCCTTAGAGGTGAAACAACGAAAATGAGCTATAAAGAAGCTCGAGACACGTGGAAATGGTCTGACAAGTGTGTTCTATCTAGCGATAACATACTCTATTATGTTGGTCCAACTCGACGTAAGGCGGAGGATAACCAACCGGAGTTGTCGTTGAGACTAGTAGTACCGACAACTATGACCCAACAAGTGCTGCAGAATTGTCATGACTCTATTGAAGGAGGACACCAGGGTGTTGTTGTATCAGAGGGTGAAGCATGACTACTACTGGATTGGACTGTATGCAGATGTGGAAAATCACGTGAAATCGTGCCTTGACTGTAGCTCGAGTAAGAGCGCACCACAGCTCGAAGGCTACTCACCTGGCAACGTACTCGCAGAACGACCATTCCAAGTAGTGTCAATGGATTTCGTTATTCCACTGCCGAAGTCTCGCCGAGGCAATACAGCCCTATTACTCTGGCAGTGCTCGTTCACTGGGTTTGGCATTGCTAAAGCAATGTCAGATACGGACACGTTAACGGTAGCTAAAGTCTTCGAAGAGTGCATATACCGAAGCTTCGGTGCACCTTCGTTCATACGCCATGACCGTGACCCTCGCTTCATGAGTGAAGTGTTTCAAGCATTTGCTGAATTGATTTAAGCAAGGCCACGGTCTACATTGAGCTATCGTCCGCAAGCAAATGGTCAACAGGAGCGCTCAGTGAAGACAGTTATGCAGTCAGTGAAAGTCTATGTTGAAGAACCACTACAACAAGACGGGGACGAAATCGCGGAACGACTTGTATTTGCTATCAATAACTCGCATGATATGACGAGAAAAGAAACTCCATTTTACCTAGTGCACGGCTGGGACGCTCATACGACTCTGCGTGCTATGACGTCCTCGCTGAAGCGTGGCATTGGCAGGCAGTCAGAAGCATTAGCCTGGATGCGAGAAATAAACCGCCAACAACAAGTGGCGCTCGAAGTGGCTAAAGAATACCAAGCCACTGAGAAGGCAAGACGGGCACGAGAACACAACGAAAAGCTCAGCCGTAAGGAGCAAGCGGTTTGTCCGCAGGAGAACACCGACGACTCAGGTGACGATAATTCAACCCCACAGTCTTTGTTCCAGCCAGGGAACAGAGTATGGTTTTACATGGAGCGCGTCAAACCAGGACTGGTTAAGAAACTAGCCCATAGGTGGCATGGACCTTTCCGTATTAAACGCAAGGTGGAGGAGTTTGCTTATGAACTTGAGGTGGCGGACAAGAGTGGATACCGATTCTACCCGAGTGGTCCATGTGTCACGACAGAAGGCTGTGAACGAATTTTGTGATCGACCTAAGACTCAACTAGCGC